AGTTTTGCAAAAAATAAAACACCACAACATTGCATGAATACCCCCGTGTAATTCAGTCAATCGGCAAAAGTGCATCCTCGGAAAAAAGAAAAAAAAAGAGGATTTAAAATGTTGTTGCTGCAAAGCATATACTTTAATATTTTCAAAAAACAAAAAAAAAATAATTCACATTGAAAAAGAAACCTCACTTTTCTATCTACTCTAAGAATGTGTTTAGATTGCATTACGTCGCGTACGCGTAGGTAAAAGCATTAACCTAAATCATACTCACAGAAAAAATTTCCTTCCGTTTTTAAACTCCATATTGAATGTTCCATATTATTTATATCATTGTGCCGATATGTCACGAAAGAGTCACGTCTAACACGTTTTGCATGATGCAGTTCTGACAATAACTTTTCTAAAATCCACTTTTTAAAAACAAGAAAGGAGGAAAACACGCTCCAAATGCAAGCAAACATCTTAGGAGTTAATCCATTGCACATTACCCTTGTATTCATTTAACGTAGTCGTATGAAATGACTCACTTAGGAATTATTATTCCCTTCAAAATTTATACAAATATAACAAATTATTTTATATCAAAATAACTACCAAGTACGCGGGGATAAGTCTGATTCATATATCTTATTCGATGCTTGTACGCGCGTTGCAGTAGGATACATGCTCGCCAGAACGCTATTTTACCATTTTTTTTTAAAAAATTCGAAGTCGTAGGGTTCCTCAGCCAGAGTCATGGATTATCTTGGCTTTCCGGTTTGACGCCTGCGTCGAAGATTGTTTGCCGACCCGCCGCATTTTCGAACCATCTTGTCGTGGTCTTACCTACCATGTCTATTTCCATCAATATCATACCTGCCTGATGAAGACCACGAACAAAACGGTGAAAACGCGGGGCAAAACAGCCCTTCGACGCGACGTTCATCCCGGACAGCCAAGATATGCATTTTTTTAAATTGTTGCTGAAAGTAGCGGAAAAACATTTTGAAATTAGCTTCGACTTATTTTACTTGGAAAACAGATTCACCAGATGACTCTTTAAAAGCAGATAAACGTCGTATTTGAGATCAAAAATCGAGTTTGTAGTATAAAAGAGCTTCGTGTGTATATCCGCTCATTTTTTCGGTATTTACAACGGAAGGATCTTAGACCAAGGTGGGAGTGATAACAGAAACCTTAGAAGTAAAATAATATCTAAAATAAGATGTGAGAGATGGAATAATTGCGGATATTTACACAATTAGTTCCTTTTTTTAAAAAATAGTTAATAAAGATTGGAATCAATATTTTAAGGTAATGCATCAAAAAATTTTAAAATGTATTCGAAGGGGAAGATGGAAATATGTTGAAAACGATAGTTATGTACTACTAGTTTACAGACCGTTTACCTCGGTCTGTAATAGTAGCAATAGAAATCATTAGTTTGATATCACGTTGAAAAAATAGATTGAGATGCAAGTGACGAGCGCAATATACCAAGAAGTGTGGCTGCGTGTCCGCAAGTACCGCCTCCTCCGTCCGTCCGTCGGGGGCAGCCGCACGACGCCGCCGTGCCGTGCCACCGGCCTGACAGAGGGCCCACAACGGGGCGGGTGGTGACGCAAACGGCCAGAAGGGAAGTGGGGGGGGAGGTTGTTTCGTACATTCACTTTACGACGCTCCTATTCGTCCGATTTCATGATTGTCACGGGGTGGATTCAGGAGCATGTCGCCATCGCGCCTTATGGCCACATTTTAAATTTTTTCGGAAGTTTGAGAACTAAATTTCAAATTCGCGTTTTTTGCTAGATTTTTGGGGAAAAGTCGTAGGTAAATCTATATTTTAAAAAGCGTCAAATGCGTTTACAATCGAAAATCGACAATTAGTTCAGACGTTATCAGTAAAGTTTTACTGTATTTGTGGCGCCACGTGGTGGCTTAACAAATTGTACTAGTGTCGGGACATTTAGCCTTAAAATATGGCTGAGGTTTCATTTTTCTTCAACTCTCTTAATTATAGAAAATTGCAAAGGTAAGAAATAAAGCGAGAAAATGTGTGCTGTTGTAGCACTACTATGTAGCCTTTGTATGTGTTCAAATGTATGTATCTAATAATATATTAGCAGTGATATAGAGCTGTGCTAAAAGAAAACAGGTTCCCTGCCAGTTAAGTATTTCCAAAATTAGAATGTGCCGTTGTGAATGGTTTAGCTTATTAGATCACACCTATTTTTAAAGTTACGGCAATAACCTTCCTGAATCTCCTTCTCTCTCTCCTCCCTGTCTCACTCTCTCTCTCTCTCTCTCTCTCTCTCTCTCTCTCTCCCTCTCTTTTTCTCGAAAACTAAATTTTTAGCAATTTAAAGTGAAGTCTCTAGAAAAACTATGAAGAAATTAAATTTATAAGTATCCAGAAGTCTGATATTATCATTATCAGACTTCAAGATACTTAGAAAATAAATCGGATACTACATAGAGTAAACTTTCAACTCGTCCGTTGCAACTTGGAATGATGAAACCACTTATTCTCCGCTTTTGTGTATTACGTAGGGAATGAATGATGAAATAGTTGAAGGCATCTCGCGAGAATATTCAATTACGTCAACAACATCTCATCAACATTTTTACAATATTGGGTAGGTTGCGTCATTCTAAGCAACACAACTTAGATATATGCGCTTGCAGGAACTACATTGTGATGGATCTTAATTTTCATGTTCCGTATAAAAATTAGATGTGAATCGTACAGAAAACTCAACGAAGCGACCTGAACCGTTTGTCACTTCAGGAATGTACAATGACTTACAACTGCCTGTGTCTACTTGTGTCCCAGGCCAGGCGAAAAAAACGTGCTGAGAATAGCAATGCGAACATTTTATGTCACGACAGTTTTGTCAACAGTTGAATTATTTTACGTGATATATTCTTTATAATACACCTTCAGAAATATTTGCATTTATGTCACATCCATAAAAATGTTCTTCAAACTGTCAAAAACTCTTCGAAATAATTTTTACGAATTGATTTTTGGGCACTGAAAATATTTCGGATATTGCAAGCACAAGTACATTTTATATTCCTTTTATGCAATATTTTATAAGTAACTGTGAGGGAAAAGTGCGAATGATGGATAAAGTATTCACCGCCACTCCAACGGTTTTACAGACATTCTCTTACTTAGCAAAACATCGCTATTCACTGTTGCTGCGCAACGCCGCCGTTTCGTAAAGAAAACTGAACATAATAAAATTATACGACAATTCATTCCACAATTCATGGTGATCGTTTATAATATACGACTTGGGTCTTCTGATATCGAGAAAACAGTTTTTCTTTTTTCATTCTTCAAAACGAACGTCCCACTGCCTTTCTGTAGGTCCGTCTGTCCATCCGTCCGTCTGTCCATCCGTCCGTCTGTCCATCCGTCCGTCTGTCCATCCGTCCGTCTGAGTGAGTGCGTGCGCGCTTGCGTGTGAGTGCGCGCGCGCGTGCGTGTGTGTGTGTGTGTGTGTGTGTGTGTGTGCGCGCGTGCGTGTGTGTGTGCGTGCTCGTGCGTGTGTGTGCGCGCCCGTGTGTGTGTTGTGTGTGTGCGCGTGCGCGAGTGTGTGTGAGCGCGAGTGTGTGTGCGCTGCGCGAGCTTTGACACGTTGTAGTGCGCGCGCGCGTGTGACGTGCTGCGCGCGCGGCTGGTGTGCAGTTGCGCGCGCGCGTGGTGTGCGGTGTGACGCGCGCCTGGACCCGTGTGCGTGGCGGCGCGCGGTGTGCGTGTGCGCGCGCGTGTGCGTGTGCGCGCGCGTGTGCGTGCTGCGCGCGCGTGTGGCCGTGTCGCTGCGCGCGCGTGTGCGTGTGCGCGCGCGTGTGCGTGTGTGTGTGTGATCCATTGAAACGCTCAATGTTATCTCAAACGAGTCTCAGCTTCCTTAGTTCGCTGTACGGAGGTCACGGGAAGGCGCAAGGTTACTCTTTACGCTTTTTTATTTGTTTAAGTTTAAGATGGCAATATATTAAATTAGTCACTCTTGTTTCCCGATTTTAATGGGAGAATCTAAAAAGTATCAAAATATGTTTTGATCTCAAAGAGTCCTCCCTTAATAATGTTCTCAACAAATGCTACAAAATGCTAAATCTTCATTTTTATAATGATATAAAATGCTATAGCTTTGTTTTCAATATTTAATATTTTTAAATTTAATGGGCTAAATTCTACCATCACTAATTATGAACTTTTCCGAATGTATCGGGACAACTGTTTTGCACTGAAGATTAATAATTGTTTACATTTCGAAAGATCTAGTATATCCACTTTACTGTCTTGAATATCTGTGAATTAATTTCGTGTATTGTAATGTTAGTGACAATCGAATATCTGTTCCAATTTTATACAATAACGAGATGAAATGCCGTTGATGCGTTGGAATGTAGAAACGTAATGCAAGTATATCGTTCTGGTTGGTTTCCATACGTTCTTCTTGCAGTGAAGGGTCCGGGGGGGGGGTATGGGGGGCCATGCACCCCTCCCCCCAAAGGCTTTGTTTTCGTTTACCTTCCTTCATTTGGAAAAATTGATTTAAATATTTATTTATGTTAGAATTATTTAATTATTTAAAAAATAATATTGTATAGTATCATACATACACTACAAAAATAATATACAAAATAATAACAAATAGTTATTACTTAACAATAATTTTTGATGGCCCTCTCCAAAATGATCGGCTGGATCAGACCCTGTCTGACTGTTACCTCTCAACTCCGAACGCATAATGAACGTTACTTGTGCCCAAGGTGTCAAAATCGTTTCGCGGCTTCATCGCAGCCTCTTGGGCATCCCTGAGCGCCGTCGCTTCCACTGCTCGCATCCGCCACGCCAGCCTCACGGCCGCGCAGACACCAGTCGGCGCAGCAGCAGGGCAGCGGGCCAGACGGCTGGCTGGGCTGGCCGCACATGTTTTGGCCCTGGCCGGTAGTGTCCGGGATGGCGTGCGTGTGCGAGTGAGTTGTGGCGGGAGATCACGAGAAATCAACACTTCTCTGATTTTGAGTGTGACACGATGTGTAGATGTCAACGTCAGTGTGTTTGATACTGTTCAGGTGTTATGCAACATTTGAGTGAGAGTGCTGCAGTGAAATTATTCAAAACTGGAGTCATGGAAGACGTACCTCTGTCTTCCGTCACGGAGTGCGACGGCGCTGTCCGTGCGCCACCGCGTGATAACATCAAAGACGGCGAAGCACACGGAACAAGTCGCGTGGCGAACACAATGTCTTCGGCGTCGGCTGTTATCTGTCACCTCATTTTGGTAGCATTTACCCTCTACATTGTGATTTTATGTTTTAATGATTCCTATAAACTATTTCTATGGCATCCTTCACTTATGACGATTGGGGTGAGTTGACCAGTATTAAGCGAAAGTGTTTTCCGTTGAAATGTAGTATAGTAGTATCTTCGTAGCGATATTAAACGAAGTATTTGACGTGTCACGTTTGTTTGACTTTCGTGTTTTGCTTCTGGATTAATTATTATATTTATGTTTTATTTACTAATGGTTATAAGTAGTATTTACTAATGGTAAGTAGTAATTATAGCAATGATTTTAACATACAAACACTTGCCTAATAAGTTATATTGTTATGAGAAATATGGTGTGCGAGTGCCCTAAAAAGTTTAGGTGCAGGAGTTTCAGCTCCACTTATAGATTTTGATGTTATCTAATTTAAAAATTTAGAATGTTTATGAGCACATAGCATTTCGCCTCTAAATCTGTGTTATCACCTTTACTACTAAGACCCTCCTTTAGGTGTAGCTTGTTATTATAAGTGTCTTTAAAATTTATAACATTGTTACATATTAGAAACTTAAATTATTATGTTCTGAACTTAGCTAATACCATCTGTAGTTGTTGGTTTGGACACATGTTTTATCATTACAAGTTACATTGTGAACACCATTGTTCTTTCTAGGGGTTTCTTCTCATGGCAGAGGCTGTGATGGCTATGTCACAAGACAATCCGATATGTGGCAGATTTGGAAGATCCTCAAGGATACAGATTCACTGGATATTGCAGGCTCTTGCTGCATCATTCATATACATTGGATTCCTTGTGATTGTAATAAATAAGAATTTGAACAACAAACATCACTTTCATACATGGCATTCCATTTTTGGGTTAATAACTGTAATAATGGTTGGACTGACAAGTAGTGGAGGCGTTGGAGCTCTATATTCTGTGAGGACTAAAGAATTTATAAGGCCTGCATTAATAAAATTGATTCATAACATTGCAGGTATAATTACATACTTCTTTGGTACTATATGCATGATTCTTTCAATGTATTCTGATTGGTTCACCAAAAGAGAATCACATTCAAATGCAACACAAGTGATTTGTATTCTCTTAATTGTTCTGTCATCAGTCTTTACACTGCAAAGTGCTGCAAGATCAGCATATTTGAAAATTATTCAGAATTGTTGAAGACATTGAAAAACAAACTTTTTGCAACATTTTGCAAAACTGTTTGTCTTGTAAAATCTTGCCTACTATTTGCCAATTTGAAATTATTGTATCTTGAATATTTTGTTACACCAAATATTGGGGAACAATGCTATTTTTTCCCCTATTTTTATATAGTTTTATCTATTTTTAAGGAATTAGGAAACAAACTTACAACACTTGGTTTGACACAACAATGTTGTTGGTTTTTCACAATGATGAATATCAATATGATAAACCAACATGATGTCTCGATTGATTTAATTTGATTATGATGGTGATGAAAGAGAAGCGTTTGGGTCCTGCTAATGTGTTGAGATTTTTATACCCTGACACTTTGTATTGGAAATGAAAAAAAAAGAAAAAAATATTTTTGGAGATACTTTACCAAAAACTAACTGAATTTCGTTTATTGAATTAATATATTTTTATAATTGTAGATTGTTGGTGCTATTTGTTATTAGTGATAAAAATTTATAAACACCTTGTACTTCTCATTGTTTTGAAAAGCAGCTTTTTGTTATCAATGGATGAATTTATGGTTAGATGTTAAAGATCTTTTGTTAAAGTTTTTTTCTTTAGGTAAGAATTGTATTGCCGTTTATTGACTACATTTTCTCAATTATATATATGTTGTGAGTGTGATTTACTTGGTAGTAATGTTTGTCATTGCATGCATTGTATTTTCGTGGGTGGATCCAGTCCATCATTTTGGGGGGGGGGGGCATCATAGATTTTTGTTAAATAAGAAATGTTTATTATATTGTATATTATTTATGTAGTGTATATATATGATACTTTAATATTATTTTTTAAATAATTACATGATTATAACAAATATTTTAATCATTTTTGTCAAGTAAAAGAACGCAATGAACAAAAGCTCTGAACCTTTAGGACCATGCCCCCCACCCCCCTCCTGGATCCACAACTATGTATTTAAGCTCTTCATTTAAAGATTATTATTAATCTGAAAATTATCCTAGGTGTTTCAAAATATGCATTTCTTTCTGTTGTAATTATTTTGATAGAACAACTGTTAGTCAATTATGTTTAAAAAAACAAAATAAATTTTGTTATAAGTATATATTAACTGTCTGCCTGTTTGTTTAAAGTGTCTGAAAATGTGTATGTAAGGTAATACAGAAATATTCATAATTTGCCTGTTTTCTTTATTTGCAGCAATGAATAACCTTTGTTAGTAGTATTTTATGAGGCATTCTTTATTTTTTCACCGTTGGAACAACATTTCTAATGGAGACATCATTATCACAGTATTTCTAACAATGTAATATGGTCATGGTTATTGTTGTTATAATTTACTTACACTTAGTTGTTGAGGAGGAATTTTGAAAAAGTAATTTTTAAATGTTGTTCGTTTAAGATATTGATGAACATGAACCACATTGTTCCGAGTTCTGTATGCTGATTTGCCAAGTCCTCCTTCATAAAAACCATTTTGATGATAATATTTGAAGACTTTGGGAATTATGGGTTATGATGATGGACTTAGAACTCCATCTGAATCAAATTAGGATAATATTTCTAAGAATCATTTAACTTATATATACTGGATACAAATTCTTTTTCTTTAAGCTCCTTTCCTGTGGTACTGAAACTACCTAACCTTAGGAATATTACAGAGTATAAGTAAAGGAACACAGACCAAAACTCTCTAATCATGAATTAAAAAAATTAAATTGAAATAATTCCAAATTTAAGAAAGCATTTCATATCAAATTCTTATAACAATATTATTTTACTTTAACTGATAGTTCCATATCTTTCTATCCTTCAATGAAAAATACTTGTAAAATGACTGCAACACCTTTTATTTCCTTTTAGTCTGTTTTCTGTATTTCTGTGGCAAAGATTGCAATCTCTTCACTACACTCAAGGGAAGACAATTTGAAGATTCAATCAGATTTAGTCTTGTTTTTTATTGTTTAATAACACAACTTCTGAAAATGAGCACTTGTATTTTAGTGTTCCGCTTTCCTTACGGTGTCTGCAATTTATTTTTGAGTCAGATACTTTGTTTAAATTTAATTTTGATTTGGAAAACAAATCAGACTTGGCACTTTTTGACTAACTTTTAGTATTTTACTTGTTTTACAATTGATCACCGTTTTCTCAAAAGTCGGGATCTACACTTTTGGACCTAAATGAGTTGCACATGTTTACTATACAATTCTGGAGCTACCTATCTATTTCTTAACTCTGTATTAGCAAAACTTATATAGTGGCTGTTTTAAAGCTTTAAACTGTGTGAACTTCTACAAAATCAGATATACTCATGCATAGGTAGAATTTTGCTAAATCAATTATGTATTTTGTAATTAACATTATTTAGTCAAAAGCTATATAACTGAAGTAAAACATGTTAATGTAACTGGTTTTCATGGCTTCAATTTAAATGCTCCATTGTTGTCAGTGTTGTTGGGAAAAAAGAAGTGTGCGAAGTGCTGTGTAAGGATGTGAGAAATACTAAGATGTCTTGAGTGCAAGTAAAATACATAAAGACGATAATGGTTGAGAATCCAGATTACACTTCTGTTAATACTTCTGAGAATCCAGATCATGCTGATTCTAATAATTTCTCCTGGAAGAAAACACTGGTGAAATAAAGATATTAGTGCCAAGTAAGAGCAATAAAATACTAGCTGTGGAGTATTTAAACCACACATAGCCTGCAATCAGCATGAATATCACAAATCAATGACAGTATGCTGTGTGTGTGTCTTTGAAATCTGCTTTGAAGCTCAAGTAGATCTTTACTCAAATTGAATTTTTTTTCATTCTATAGTCTTGTCTAAGTGTATTTTTACTCAATATTACTAAAATGTAAAACCTTTTTAGAAGTTTTCATTTTATGACCCAACATAAATTCAAGATAGTTGACCAGAACAAGTTTCTTTTCAAACAGTACATACTAGTCCAAAGTTTGTGATGGAGAGTTGTTGATCATTATGATAGTAAAAAGCCAAAGAAAAAACTATTTAATATAAAGTAAGGAAGCACAGAGGTGCTTTAATTCCAGTAAGTGATGCAAGTTTTAGAAGCATTATAGATGCTTCAGAAAGAAGACATTTTTTGTCTCTGGAAAAGTGAAACAGTGGAGAAAAGAACGGAACACTATTTCTGCAAAGGAGGTAATGGTGTAAACTTCCTTTCAAAACAAGAAGCTCGAGTTGTCCAATATGTTAATAGAGATAAATCAGGAATGAACAGTACTTCCTCTCATAAAAATAAAAATGTGTACACAAAATATAGTTCAATTGTAGATATTCTTCAGTCAAAAGCTGTGGTCAAACATAGTACATAGAACAGTAGTCAAACATATATGAGCTTCGGGAATTCAAGTTAAAATGGTAAGTTCTGAAAAAACTACTGATGAAATAAAACATCTCAGATTTTTCATAATACTAACACAATCCAATGATTTTTACATTAACCTTAAGGACAGTTTGAATAAAATCAGTATTTCTGATCGAAATACTGATTGTGACAATGTTATGATTTCTTATGGAGACAAAAGAAATAACAAATTGATTACAGCTTGTCACAATGTTAGTATACCCATCAGAAGTACAATATTTTAATTCAAATTGCTTCTTTTTTTATCATAAGAAATTAAATAATTATTAATATATACAATTACACCAATTAATGTGAATGTAATACCTTACTCAAATCTCACGTTTTGTCAATTTGTTATAATTACATTCAGAATAAAAATTCTGCATCCTACAAAACATATGTAGTTTCATGAAAACACTTTTAAAAAATGTGTTTTGAGAAAAATTAGACATTTTGAAATCAAATACTAGGATTTAGAATTAAATCCCAAAGCATTTCATGAGGAATTATATATAACTTTCAATTCTCCGTAAGATGACAAAAAAAAGAAAAAACTTTTTGAAATCTATAAAAATCTTTTAAAAATTGATTCCTGAAAATTTTCATTTTTGTATGCATTGAGATTTGGAAAAGCAATTCTCAATTGTGAATAAACCTAAAGACAGTACATGGACTGTACTGTTTTGCATGTGCTTTTCTATACCTGCATCCATGGAGTCAACTTCTTGAACTGTGCTATGACTGGACTGATAAAAATTGGGCTATATCATATTTAAAATGTGATTATCTCTTTCCAAAAATATCAGAAAACCTAAGGATATGTGAACATTTAAATGCTTTGAAACACTTTTATCTGACCTCATAATTTTTTGTATCTGAGGTTTTTCTTTAAAAAATAACTATGAAGTTTTCTCATTGCATTTGTAATCATTATCTGATCTGCCAGAAATGCCTTTTGTACAATGTTAGGTAACCTTTCCTTGTTACTATTATCGTAGATGGTTAAAGTGACTGCAAATTTTAGTTCATGGAAGAATGCTCTTGAATACAAATGTTCTGTGGAAACAGGATGTGTGTTAACTCAGACGCCAGATCAACCATGTTCATAGATGGATGTGACCAAAAACTATCTTCTTAATATATTTTCATCATTAACTTAGCCATATTGAATAAAAAGTATAATACACATATTTCATAGAGGTGATATACATTTATTATGTCAATCTATAAGAGCTGACATACTTTCAGACCATTGCAAGGACATGGAACAGTGATGACCTTCAGTTCTCTAGTTGAAAATCAATAAATTTATTCCTTACTTAGTACGGAGGATGGATCTCAACAAAGAAAATTAATATAAACTTACTATTTTTTGAAAACATTGAACTGGGAACAGTACAATACTTGATTTAAACTATTAATAAATACTCGTGAAACAGTTTTTAGTATTAAGGAATAACAAGTTTGTTTTAAGTTAGCAAGTATTCAAAAATATTTTAAGACGGCTCAAACTATAATTGTTGACATTTGTAGTAATTTTTATTTAATATAATTTAGCACATTTAATTAGTGAAGAAAAGGTAACGAATGAGTGTGAATGTGATCAATTAATTCAGGTAGCAATATTACATGTTTTGAATAAATATATTCAAAGAATGTTATGTTTCTTTCAAACTTATTACCTTTCACCCTTTTTTTTTCTTTTTACCAAGTTAATCAACTGTAGAAATTAAGTGTGTTTGAAAAAAAGTGTATTTAACTTTGAGGGAAGTTGTAAGAGCTTTAATTTAGTAAATTATGTATTTACCAATTTTGAAAATAAGTAAATAAAATAAAAGTTATTGAAATGAGTGAGGGGCATAATAAAAGTTACAAAGAATAGTTAAAGATTAAGTTTATAAGATAATGAATTAACAGAATAAAGATTTATAATTAGGGTGGGTGAAAAATGTCTTTAAGATAGTGTGAACAAATACAAAGAGCAGAATAATGTAATAACAATACTTCAAAAAGAATCCCGATAAATATGTTCATTGTCTTCAGGATAATTAATATTTAACAAAGAAGAATGAAAAGATTTTATAATTAGAAGGTGATCTGAATCTAATTCAGGAATGGGTATTTGATAGGTATGTTTACATTTGTTGCAATAATAATGTTAAGAATAACAAGAATTACATTATTATGATTTGAATTTATTGCTCACGGAAGGAAAAAGTATCAATCTGTAACATCAACAAAGTAATGTAAACAAAACTATCATAAGTATTTCTTTATATTACATGTTTTTATTTGAAGTTAATATTTTCGGTTAAAGTAGAGAACGCGGTACGTTTTTAAAGAAGCTTGGTGGCATGGATTCTCTTTAGGCCCTCCCACAAGCACTGAAAGAAATGAATAAAACTTACCCTCGAAGAACTCAGTTGCTTTCCGCACAGAACGCGTATGAGGAGTAGACCTCTTCCGAAACGATAACACTACTTTCGCTTGGCCAACCTCATCGGACACAACATACATCCTGCAACAATCAACCCATGTTCTTGTGCCCTCTCAATCGCAGCCAAACACGTCTCTCGGTGCAATGCGTATAAAAGAAACAACATTTATTCTCACCACCGACGCAGATACACTCGATACTCAAAAACATAGATCACAAAGAATCAGAAGAGCGCAAGAAACGTAACTCTACGACAGCAACGTAACTAAAGCTTTCGACAGCTACCCCGACCCACAAAATCACAGGGGCGTACCACCACGATCGTGGCACTATTTTATAATGGAGCTCTGACAAGATAGGTGAAATTACCTCCCCTAATTAATGACGTCAGTTCGTGACCACTTACGAACCATTAAAAATATTTCAGAAGTGAGATTTTTACAATCTATTTAGATTACCCACATGTTGCTTATTACATGTACTAACAAAGTTATGTACATTGCTCATTACCCCTCCACTCCGAAATATCCCCCTCATAAACCCCTAATCACCCATCCTCCCCTCCACCGTCTCATCCCGCCGGAGCGGCGCGGTGCCTTATAAGCAACTTCTTTTAAGTCGTACCGTGTTCTATACTTCAGCCAAATATACGTGTCTTCAAATGACGTAACACGAGTGAAAGATCTATTTTTCATATCATGCAATGTACTAAAAAAGAGACACCCTATTTGTTCATATT